ATGGTATAAACATTGCTCTGAATAGCTTGTTGGCCAATAAATCAGTCCAATCTGAATACATTCTATTATGCACAACACAATCATAAATAAGGTGAAAACAGATGCAACTTACAACTGGAGGCAATCTTCACATTAAATTGTAGTTGAAATAAGAGATCTTATTTAATTTTAAATTAGTTTGTAGGAAAATTTGACCATATTTATCTCAGTCTAATGCTCTATCTAATCTAATGCAATTTTCAAAACCCTGAAACCAAAAAAGGTATTTACTGACGAATGTAATGCAGTGGAGAAAGTGTGTTCTTTGTAATTTGGCCAAAAAGCTGTGCATTACAGTTGCAGCCTGCTTAGAATTGCTTCTTTAAAAACAAATGTGTTAGAGCACCAAAGCTTCCTGCAATAGAAAACTTGGAGGTGCATTTATGGTGTAGAATTAATGCTTTAATTGCCTTGGTTCAATGCTATGGAATCATGGGGGCTATAGTTTTACAAGGTCTTGAGCTAATGCCTTAGCTAACCACAAATCCCAGGATTACATAGCATTGAGCCATGGCAATTAGAGATGGCACCCCTCAAATAGGACCTCCAGGTGCTTCTGAAGCAGCTTCCCCTTTCTCTGTGGCTCAGCACTAAGATTACCATATTACATGAATCTAATGCACGCCCTAATTTTGGCAAAGTAATTTAACCAAAAAAAGAGATGAGCATTAGATTTGAGTAAATAGCTATTTCTGATCAGATGCTCCTCTATTTGGATAAGCATTAGAATGGCCAAGCAATGATTAGAATACCACTAATTTTTATTGGCTGTGTAAATTTCACTAAACTTAGAAGTAAGAAACCTGGCATAATGTATATGCCCATTCCTACTACTTCTAAAGAACAATTAATGAGACGACCCTCTCGCCCCACTTTCAACATCCCAGAAAAGATGTATTCCCAAATACTAATAGAGTCATCATGATAGTTAAGGTAGAACTAGTTTTATGTTAGAACTGTACTCTTTTATTTAAAGGTCATAAGTACTTTTCTGCTTCAGACCAATTGCTGAATTCTTCTTGAGAATTTCAGTAAACAATAGGTATTAGGTGGCATACCAGAAATTAATGGCCTCGCTGACACTAGTCTACCTTCTACTACTGTTATTTTCCACAATTCTAGGTTAATGATTCATTAATGAATCTGTTTCAGTAAGGTACCTGGGACAGACCTGCACAGAAGAATCTAATCTGGGTCAATATCGTATCTTCCTCACTGCTAAAATTATGCCAGTACTAGAATAGAAACCCTTGAGATAAAAAGGGATATTGTAGCATCTTTGAGACGTATAAACAAGTTGGTAGTATAAGCTTTCGTAAGATTATGTGTACTTCAACAGACACATGGAGTGATGTGCATAGGAACAGCCTGTTGCTAGACACTCATTCCATGCTTCTTATGTAGACTAAAGTTTATAAAAACATAAGCTACAAACTCCTTTTCCAATTAGTATCAAAGATGCTACAAAGTCCCTTTGCATACTGATCCAGACTAATACAGTTAAGTCATGGAATTGAAACATATAAATTTACTTTAAGTTTTACCAGCCTTACAAAGGCAACAAAAAGGGACTCCATAAAATATGGGAAATGGTGTCTAACCATGACTGCATAATATTCAGTCTTGAACTCATATGCAATTTCCCCTGTGCAACAGGGAAAATGATTTCAAAAGCTCTTTGCTTATTGTCTCATCCAATACAAAAATCATGGTATAACGCCAACTAAGTTTCAAAGCAAGCCAGTTTCAAATTATAGTTCAGTAAGAGACTTGTTTAAACTAGTTATATTTAAGTGTAAACTGCAATATCCTCATTTGGACAAAATAGGAGGAATGCATAAATAAAACTAGAAGTAAAAGTGTCCAATTATCTTTATAGTTGCAAGGAAGAAGTAGGATGCATAAGCCCAAGGCTTGCTGCAGCTGGTGCATATCCTGATAATTCACAACTTACTGTAACATTTTAATATAGCTGAATCAATATCTATTTGAACCTATCTGCTCTTGTTATTAATAATTAGAGGCAATATAAAGTGTAATTAGAGGGATCAAATTAACATGGATATGGTCTTCCTCAAATCTTCTCCATAGATAGATGCTACACCTGTTGTAATTAACAAATGAGAAGCATATCAATTGGTTATCTCCCAAATATTCAGATTATCCCCAACTGTAGATCATCTAATTGAAAAACACCTTTTGTGTTTGGTTCATATTTATTTTCTACAATATTTTCATGTAGACTATTTAGAGTTTAAATTGTAAAGCAATATTGGTTTTCTAAATATAAAATTACTTCTTTTTTCAAAGTGACTATTGTGGCACAAAGCTGTTGAAACTAAAAACTCTAGTTTCATTTAATAGGGGTTTAAAAATAATTTTGGTAGAACCATGCTCTGAATAATTAACTGAATGGCAACCACACCATGCAATTCTGCTTAAACTATTTTTAAAAGATTCTTACCATATAAAACACAGTTCTAGAAAAACATAGGCTGTGTTCAAAACAATTTCATGGTGAGCTCAGAGCTGGATTCATATTTCTGTTTGTGATATGCCATAGTCCAAGCCAACTTAAACAGCAGCATTAAGAAAAACGTACAGTTACCTTCCAGATAAGGATGTCCCTCTAACCAATCGAGGGCTTGAGCAATCCTGTGAAGAAATAACTCACTATTACGGAATTGCCTTTATAGCATTCTCCAGCACTACACATTAACTCTGCTTAAAAAACACTGGGATAAGTAATAGAGTAGTATGTTCAAATGTACATGTTTTGATTTAAAGGGATCCAAATAGAAGACACCAAAGGAATGTCAACCAATACATCAAACTGCAATTTGTGAATAATTCCATTTTGCTAAGTCTGCTATACAATTAATTACAAAAAAATCTTCTAGACTGCAAGCCTACCCAGGAGTAAGTCCCAGTTAATGGAATTTACTTCTAAATAGGCATGCATAGAATCAAGCTGCCTAAGATCCCAATTACTTGAGCTGTAAATACAGAGGATGCTTAACTACTCATTCATTCATTTCTTCAAGTGGGCTGTTTTCTTGCAATCAAAGTTAATTAAGCTAACATTTCAACTCTTTGCCAGAACACTGATGCAGAAAGCCTTTGCAACTATGTCTATTTGTTTTAAGTAGTGTTAAACTACCGTAAATTGGTCTAACATTTCTTAAGTTGATCTAACGTAACCAAAAGTTCAGAATCATTTGCTAATTAAAGATGATTGGCCACCTCTTCACATACAATGACTTTACTACATGTATTCCATATATGAAAAGGAATGTTCACAGATGCAGACATATCTATTTTGCTACATATGCACACAGCAACACATGTGGATCTTCACGTGATAGCTTCAGATATAGAAGAGTGATGTCCTTTACCATGTCAAAGTCATGTGTGAAACATTCCTTTTAAACAGCACTCCTAATTTACTCCACAAGAACCTTAGCATTTATTACTAGGATCAATGTATTACTATCAAAACTTCTTGCAGCATGAAAAAAACCTTCAGGAATCAACTAAAAAGTAACTCTGAATCACATCAAATAAGTATTCAACTATGCTGAAAGATTTTACACTTGGGTGGAAAAATGAGTTAGTAAAAGGTAACTGGAAACCTAACATCTTAGAAGGCTATAATGGGAAAGTCCTAAAAGCAATCAACCCAGTTCCATTGAATTACAATTCAGTTTGACCTCTTAAAACCCCCTTACCTTTTTAAGTTTTATACAGCAGTTTGCCATGGGAACACATAATGTGAAGAACACAACCGTTGCATCCTTTGTAGAAAAGTACCTGCTGCCTAGCAATGGTCCTGCAGGGATGCAGGACAGTGCTAGTGTTCTTTATCCACATTAGGTTAAAATATTTCAAGGGAACCAGAGAAAGCTTGCATTCAAGGTGTCTTCCATCGGCATGTCAAATGGCAACTAGTTAATTCTAAGAGACTGGCAAACAAATGCAGTTTCTGCAGCCACGGTACAGGTGCAGGACTGTTCGCTTCCTCTTGACCTTTGGCGCTGTGTCCTCAGCTGGACCCTGGAGTCTCCTGCAGCAAAGAGTTGGACTCCTGCACAATGGGAACAGCTTTCCAAAGCTCAATATCCCCAAATGCAGGAAGTATATCATAATATTTTCAAAGTGTCGACACTTTTTTTCTCCTCTCATCTGTACTACAAACTACATGTTTGCAGTGGTACCTACGAAACGAACAAGGTTGCATGCACGTCCGAGGTGTGTAGTACTTTTGCTTCAGAAACTGGTCAAATAAGAGCACCAATACCAACGGTACAGGATTTAAATGACAGCACTCTTAGCTCTCAGGAACTCTTCATCCATTCAGAACTACACCCAGGACTGCATAACTCTGGGAGGAAAGCCCCTGGAGGTGGAGGAGCTCTTCAAGTGGAACCGTGCTATCACTTAATGCGAGTTACTTTTTTCTCTCTTTTTTCAATTTGGCGAAAAGGTTATGCACAAGACGCAATGAAATTGCAAACTTTCTTCAAACTAAAATCAGAACTAAGGCCAAACACGTTAGATGAACAAAACAAATCAAGAACTTAAAATTCAGGATCTCCAGCTCTTCCAAATCAATACGGTCCCAGATCTGCACACTGTTCTGAGACTTAAGATGCTTTCCCTGCTTCTTGCATGCCAGCAACAGCACCATTTCCTCGTAAAGATGAGGAGATAGCAGCCATTGATCCCCATTCACTGTGAACAAGGGGACACAGCAACACAACAGACTAGATTTTCTTCCGATTTCATACAATGGGATGGTCAGTATCAAAGTGTAGGTCTCCCTGCTTCTTGTGTGAGACCCACAACTATCAAATCGAGGAGAAGCAGGAACAATAGCAGCAGCAGCAGCAAAGTTACCCCCACAGCTGCAAACAAAGGGGTCAAAGGTTTGTCGTCAATTCATTTCCAGGCAGAAAAACCACTTTCCTCAAAAGAAACAATTTATTTAGAATGAAACAAAATCAGCTCGACTGTGAGCGCATGTTTTGAGTGACAGCCATCAAGCTGTGTGAGCCATAAAAAGGTTTTTTTCCTTTACTTTTGCAGAAATCTTGTGTACACAGCACAAAGCAAAGAGGTCAATTTTCCACTTAAAACACGGGCATTGGCATCACAATAGCAGATACACAACTTTTTTAAGCTGCCATTTTAGTAAAATGCACAAATACTAAACAGATAAGCTTTCTTCCAGGAGGCCCATGTATATTCCACATAAGCCACAGCTTTTCTTCGCAAAGGTCCATTAGAGCTTTGAATCCCTTGTCATCTTCGGCAGTTCAACAGCCTTGCTTTTCAGGAGGAAAGAAGAGGTTATTCAGTACAAAGGTTTACAATATAGTTGTCCTCTCCCTATGTTTACAGATAATTTATTGAACTACAAGGCTTTTCTTCAACATTATAGGTAAAGTCTGAAAGTACCAATCACCCTCCACTGGCACAAAATCTTTGAAATGAATTCACATCTGTATATAGATGCACAATGAGCAATTCAAGGATTTAAGATTCAGGACATTATTTTTCTTTTTACAGTTCACACTATTTCTCTTATTTTCAAAAAGGCAATTCAAATAGAACATGAAATTTAGTGTTCTGTTTGTGTACATATTTTCCCTTTTTTATTTTGGCTTCCTGGTTATTGGAAGAGGAAAAAAGCCAATCAAAAAAATCAGATTCTCCTCCAGTGAATTTTACCAGTTTTCCAAAATTTTACACTTGGATAAATAAAATTGGAAATATATATTGTAAGTGATACCACTGAAATATCTTTTTTTTTTAATTTTATCTAAATTGAACTCACAGATTTTTTTCACAAATAGGTGATTTTGTCACTTCCAACCAATTGTGTTCAAAGTAAGCCATTTTATAAGGTGACCATACTGGTGTACATTTTAGCGGCAAAATGTGGCATTTCCCCATTTATGATTTAATGTCTAATTATAAATTTTGGATGTTTCCTCAAACTCTTTTGGTCTCAAATAAGCCGCATTCTCACTGTTGGCTTAAGCAGTCCGAGGAAGATACCTTCCTCCCTATATCTCTTGGGAAGAAGTGATTCACACTACAGATTGCTTTACAATTGTCTTGCATCCACTTCCAGTGTTGATGTTTGTGTTTCCCAACATAGGAAGCTACCATATAGAACACATCAGTGGATCTCACAATAATGAGGTAGCTTTAAACTCATGCCACACTACCAGCCAACAACACTCTATAGGGCAAATTTTCAAGCATGCACAGAAACTGATGAACAGCTGTTTCCAACTGTTCGTCTCCAATTGTAAGAATTTAAATTATAATGCAAATATGCCCCTTCAGGCTTTCCGTTAAGCAGGAAAAGAAGTGATTCTTAACTGATGCTTCAGAATAAAAAAATCCATTCTAAAGCCACAAATGATAAAGGATGGAAACAAGACTTGTAAAGACATGCAGCATTCAAGTACACACTGCTCCTATTCAGGCTCAATAATGCCATACACAGTGATTAGAAGTCTATTTTTTTTCTCTGCAGAAGTGGCATTAAACATAAGTTTAGCTCTTTTTTTGAGTAGCTCTTTTTCTGGGTATACCATAGCTGTATTCTAATGCAACCAAAATGACTTTTATGATACTTGTACCTAAGTGCTTGTCATAAAATATTGCTCCTAAAATATTTTTTCCTCCAATAGCTATGAATAGACCATTTTTTTAAAAAAAAGAAAATTAAGTCAAATGTTTAGATAATAATTTGGAAAAACTGCCCATTTCCTGTAACATTCACATACTTCAACTTATAACATAAACAACAATGAGTTTTTTTTCTTTTTCGTTTTAAAGGAGGGAAAGAAATCCACAGTAGGGATTTTTCTGACAACAGCAGATAGCACTTTGATGTTAACAAGTATATTCAGACAATTCACCTAAAAATCAATTTCTATTCTTTTAACAAGGACAGTATTACATATTAAAAGAATGGACAGATGCTGAAAATCTCGAATCATTCACTTTTGGAGAGTTTATATGGGTGATCTCCTTTAAATGACCCATTAAACCGACAGAGAATTCATGCCACTAGTGCTTGACATTCCCACTGTATAACACACCAATATTCATATTATGCAGTAACCAGCAACATAAACTTATACTGCTGATTCTACCTGGAAGTAGAGAATTTATGAAATACCCCCTTTATAACATGCCAACCATTTTAAAATATTCTTATCGGGGGTTCTCGAAAAAGGTTCACATGTGCATTTTAGGACTTTTAAGTCCACAGTTCAAAGTTTTCTTCCTTTATTACAGGACAACTGATATTTTAATTTGTATTGTCAAATAACATTATTCAAGTTTATAATTACTGCTTATCAGATTTAGGCTGTGAAAGTCCTACTTCCAGAAGTAAACGGACAAACTGGTTCCAGAAGTAAGGAGCAGGACATGCTTCTAATAGGGCAGCAATTATACATCCCTTCATATACTGCTGAACGGCAACTCCTTGCATGCCTCATCATTGGCTGTGTTACTAGTACTAAGGCGAGCTACAGTTCAACATCATCTGAAGAGCTGCATAATTCCCATCTTGTGGTACACCAAGACGCACACTGTTTAAAATAAGTCACATTTCAAAAGTGTACTGCTTTAGACCTGGCAGAAGTTTTTCACAAGTGGAAAATAACATTCCTTGATAACTTAGATACAGCAGTACAGAAAACTAATAGGGTGGATTTTATTAGACAAATTAATAATATTTTGGGCATCTGAAGCCATGTATCCAAATACCTTTTATATAGCCTCAGAAATGGTTGTGGAAAAGCAGTTTCTTTTTTTAAAATGCTTATTTTAAAAACAAAATTATGCTCTTTGAATAAGCTGGACTGTTTTAAATCAGAGCAATCCAGACTTGCATAATGCCCATTATATTTTACCTGAAAGATATCTAGCAGGTAACATTCATTTTTATTGTCATGGGAATAAACTGGGATTGAAACAGTTGTGTGGCAGAGCTGAAGTGCCATCTCTAAACATTTTTTCCCAAGCTTCATTTTAGAATTCACTCTGCCCCCAATATATTTAGCAATGGAAAATTAACAAAAATGCAAATAATCACAGTTCTCTTAAAAGCACCTACTTTTTCTTGCATAGTGAAATGCAAGATGTTTACAGATTCTAACACAGCTTTTTGCTCTTTATCATGTGTTGTACTGCAACATCAAATGTATAAGAGATTAAAATAAAAGAATCAACCTGTTAGAAACATTCTCCATGGGCATGCATTTTCAGGAATTTGACAAAAACTACTACCCAAGGAAAGAAGTCTGCAGTATACTATAAAGGCTAAGTATCGGCTGCCTCAGGGAAGTCAATTATGAATCAATTCAACTCAAAACTTTAATTTCTGATTCTTGACATAGGGATTATTTTGTTTTCAAGACAACAGGCTCAAGGCCTTCACTGAATGCTCACAGGACTCAGAATGGGCATTTGCTTATCTTCTTAAGTAGATAACTACATAAACCATGACATTAATGCTTTTACTCTGTCAATTTAGATTTGAAAGTTTATGGAGAAGACTTTTATAACTACTTTAAAGGTATGAAATGAAAAAGGACAAAAAGTTAAAAGCTAAAAAAAGGGAGACAGACTTATTTTGGGATCCATATTTTTAAATGATGCAGACCTTCCCTTCCTACTACCTGTTGATCAGCAAGACAGGCAAAGGTGGTCGAGTCATACTACTCAAAAGTTAATATGTCTGCCTTCTAAAGAATTTAAAGAAAGTTATAGGGAGATAACATCAGCTATGGCTCTAATTAAAATTATACTTTGGGGGCTGGCTAAGGCTTATCGCATAGCACCTGGCAGACACTGGAACAGGGGAGGCTGTATGAAGCAGCAGGACAGAGCACAGAAAGCGTTACGGCTTTAAGATGCACCACGGACAATGATCATGACCAAATAGTCATCCTCTGACTTAGCCAGGGCCTTGGCTGTAGTATCCAGGAACTGCTGAGAAAAATCACAAGGTGGGAAAGCATGCAAGACCCCGCTGTTTTCTTTGTCTTTGTTGCCTCCTACTGGGAGGCTTATCACTCCAGCTGCCTGTTTTTGTTTGAGATAGGACACCAGGTTTCTGAGTGGTCGCTGTGTGGAGGTGGTGTTAGCATCACCAGCCCCAGATGAGGCACGGTTGTCTGTGGTTCCAGGCACAGCCAGAAGAATAGCATATCCATTAGGCCCTGCCACTTTGATGCGACGAGTAACTTCATCCAATTTAGGCTGGTCCAGACGGAGACGCTGGGTGATTTTTAGCTGGGCCACTTTGCCACCAGTTGCTCCTTCTACCAGGAGACTGCTGGCCACACTCAGATCTCCTTGAAGTAGGTGCATGTTAGACGGAAAGTTGCTGTTCTTCAACAAAAGCATTCCTTGCCAAGCCAGGCAGAGTTTGGGGGATGACCCAGACTTTGAGCCTCCATCCTGCTGTTGCTGCTTTTGAGGGGGAGGCTTCAAGCGTGATCCTCCGCCACTGCTCCCTTCAGAGACTTGTTCATCTTTTTTAGCTGGGCTCTTGCACTCTTGAGCCGCAGCTACTGCGAGGGTGCGATGTTTTCGTTCCCTTTCTACCGAACTCTTGTGCTCACGCTTCTCATTTTGGCCTCTCTCCAAGCTACCCCTACGTGACTCTCTGATGGGTGAATGGCGATCCAGCAGGAGCAAACGGGAAGATGACCGTTCTGCATCACTCCCATAGCGGTCTCTGCCTATGCCAGGCTCAGGACTACGATCTTGTGGAGAAGCTGCAGTAGGGCAATGCCGTTTGCGGGAAGAAGATGACCGTTCACTATCAGGCGAACGGTCCAAATGCCGTCCCCCATCCTCCACCAGTCTTCGCTTCCTGGGTGGGTCCCTGCTGCCACCGCCTAACTCCCTTTCCCCGCGAGTTCTCTCTAGAGACCAACCGTCTCGCCTGCGTTCCAGGCTCTCAAGTGCATCGTAGACAGTTGCTCTGTTGCCCCGGTCTCGAACTGGAGGTGGGGGAGGAACCCACTCTGTTTCAGGATATAAATCTCTGTCACGGTCATACAGCAGTGGTGGGGTCCTATCCCGTGCACCTCGGAGTGGATCAGGTGGTGCACCACGATGCGCCCCAAAGGCAGATGTCTCTGCTACCAACTCATAATGGCCAGGGGGTGGAAGCGGCAAGGGCTGCAAATAGGGCTGCTGATAGTGATGCTCTGTGTCAGCAAAGTCCACCCTCAAACGGCGGTCCGGTCCACCCAAGGGGAAGCCACGCATGTGAGTACAAGCAGCCTGGGCAGCATCCAAACTCTCATACTGGATGTAGGCCCAGGAATCCCCTTTCCGATAGTCAATGGTGCGGATAGTGCCAAAACGGTCAAATTCCCTGGCAAGGGCGGCTAGCGGCACCCAAGGCCCCAGCCCACCGACCCAGAGCCGCGTGGTGGGGGTGGCCTTGCCATAGCCAATTTTGATAGGATTACACAGCAGCACTTTGCCCGACATGGCGAGCTTAGCCCGATGGGCCATATCCAAATTTTCAAACTTGAGAAAGCCGTAAGTACTCGTCTGTCCTCGGGACGGCCGCTTGATATCCACCTCCGTGATCACCCCAAAGCGATCAAAAGCCCTCTGGAGGTCCGACTCGGTCACCGAGATGTCCAGGTTGCCCAGGAAGAGCGTGCGGTTGGCCCGCTGGTCGTCTTCGGGGCTGATCTCCTCCTCGCTGGCAGTCCCTGTGCCGCCCACTCCACGGAAGGCGGCCGCCGCAGCCACCCCAGCCACACGCTCCAGGCTGTAGGCGGGTCGGACCCGGTCATAGAAGCCCCCGTAGTCCCGCTCCCTCTCCAGCTCACGGGGCAGCGGCGGGGGAGGCAGGCGGCCCAGGGCCAGCTGCTGCAGCCGGAAGTCCCTGTAGCCCAGGCCGGCCCCTCCGCCGGCGGGAGAGAGGGCCCTCTGAGCGGCAGCCGGAGGGTGCCTGAGGGCGGCGGGAGCGGCGCCCGCTACGCCCACGCCCGCGGCTCCATAAGGGGAGTCCTTATCTAGGATGGCTGGGGAGCGGCTGCTCCTTCGCCGCCCGCTCGCCCCGCTGCCCACGTAGACGGCCTCAATCTTCAGGGGCCTGTCGTAGAGGACCAGGCGGCCTCGGGCGTGCTTGGCGGCGCGGGCGTCCTCTGGGCGGCGGAAGTTGACGAAGGCCACCCTTTCGTCGGCTGCGCCTGTCCCGGGCGGGAGGCGGCTGATCTTGACACTCACATCCCCGAAGCGCTTGAACTCGTGGAAGAGCCCGTCCTCGATGGCCTCGTCGCTCAGCGCGTTGCCCAGCTCACTGATCTTGAGCGTCTTGTACTCACTGCCACCGCCGGAGTCTGAAGGGGGCGCCCGGGAATCCCCTCCTCCTCCGCCTCCTCCTCCGCCTCGGCTGCTGCTGCCCCGCGAGGACGACGACGACTCCGCGTTCTTGCTGCTGCTGTTGCTGTAGCCATGTCGGCCGCCGCTCCCCGTCACGGCCTCGTACTCGCGGCTGCTGGCCCGGCTGGCCTTCTCCAAGTGGAGGCCCCGGCGGCTGCTGCTGCTGCTGCTCCCGCCCTCTCCAGAGCCGCCGCCCGCCGACTTCCCGCCGCCGTTGCTCGGCTTCTTACTGCTCCGCTCGCCTCGCACGGAGGAGGAGGAGTCGTCGCCGCCACCGCCGCCGCTGCTGCTCCCTCCGCCCCGGGAGCGCTTGGCCTTGGCCGGGGAACGCTCCTTGCCCTTCATGGCGGCGGGCGCCAGCGAGAGGGAAGCGCGCGCCCAGTACCGCGCCTCACGCAGCCCCCGCCGCCATCTTGGAATCTCCTGCAGGCTCGGAACCCCGCCCATACGGGCGCCATTGGGCCCTCTCCACTCGCCTCGGCATCCTCATTGCACGAAGCGCCTGTCAATCTAAAGCGAGGCGGTGGTGGTGGGGGGAGGAAGCACCAGGCGGTGCGATGCTCCGGAAGCGGAAAGCCCGCCTTTTCCTGTATCGGCCTTCCTTTTGTCGCTCGGAAAAGTTGGGTTGAGAGGAACGCTAACGCCGCCATCCCATAGGCCCGTTGCCTGGGTAACTAAATCGAGTTTCTCCATTTGGGTTGGACAAGAGTGCTGTCAATCTTTCCTTATTTCTCTCACAGCCGTATCCGTAGCGTTCATTGGCTATTGGGTTTTGTTTTTTTCAAATTCCAGGGAGGGGTGGGAGGCTGAGGAGCTCGCGCAAGCAGCTTTAATTTGATTGGATGGTGGCCATGCCTATCGCAACCGTCCCAACGGGTGACTGGGATTGGGGTGCCGTGAACTGATTGGATGGTGAGGTAATCTGGCGGAGGCTGAGGCGAGGCCTGCTTCCTTGGCCTTCTCCGAGGCACGAGAGGAGCGCGGCCTCGATTGACGTCACGCTGCTCTTCCAGGGGAGTTGGCGGAAAGGGCCTTGGCGCGGGCGGACTGGGCGGCTGGCGGGAAGGGCTACAGCAGGCATTTGCAAAGCTGGGCCCTCCAAGTGTTTTGGACTTCAACTCCCAGAATTCCTGACAGCCTCAGGCCCCTTCCTTTTCCCCCTCAGCCGCTTAAGCGGCTGAGGGGGAAAAGGAAAGGGCCTGAGGCTGTCAGGAATTCTGGGAGTTGAAGTCCAAAACACCTGGAGGGCCCAGCTTTGCCCATGCCTATGTTTCAGCCTCAGCCACCCACCAGCATGAATCTATGAACCATATAAGGGTTCCTGAAGCCAAACCTTGGTTGCTCTCATTTTATAGCTGAGACACCATTTTACTACACCATTACACGAAATGGAGCTTGCCCACCCACAGATTTTGTTACCCCCGAGGGTCCTCGGCCCACGTCCCAGCAGACACCAATGGGTTCACTGTACTGGGAACAAGATTGGGCCTCGTGGCACCCAACAGCACCATTGTTAATACAGGAACTCAACTTTCCAATGACACTATTGGATCAACCGCTTCCGAGCTGGTCCCAGGAGGCCTCTGGAAAAAATTCACCACTATGCAACAGCATTTTTGTTCCTCTCTTATCAATGTTGTTTCCTAATTGGTCCTATCATAAAAACATGGTAAAGGTTTATTAAACTGCAAAAACTTTGTTTTTGTGGGACTTCGTGCAGCACATATTGCAACAGTTTTTCAATTAATACCCCATAGGGCCCTTCCACAAAGCCCTATATTCCAGAATATCAAGGCAGAAAATCCCACAATATCTGCTTTTAACAGGCTTATCGGAGGGCTCTTCCACACAGCCCTATATCCCAGAATATCAAGGCAGAAAATCCCACAATACCTGCTTTGAACTGGCTTATCTGAGGGCCCTTCTACACAGCCCTATATCCCAGAATATCAAGGCAGAAAATCCCACAATATCTGCTTTGAACTGGATTATCTGAAGGCTCTTCCACACAGCCCTATATCCCAGAATATCTGCTTTGAACTGGCTTATCTGAGGGCCCTTCCACACAGCCCTATATCCCAGAATTTCAAGGCAGAAAAGCCCTCAGTATCTGCCTTGATCGGATTATCTGGGTCCACACTCAGATAATGTGGGATTTTCTGCCTTGATATTCTGGGATATAGGGCTGTGTGGAAGGGTCCATAGAGACTCAACAAATTCAACATAGTTTGTGGCAGCCACAGAAATGGAGTTTCTGGAGTATAACAACTACTTTCAAAGGAAGCACCACACAATTATACAGGAAATAACACTTTCAAAACAGTAATGATTCTCCCCTTATCTTATTATTGCATAGTGAGACTTGGATCTCGACATTATCATACACACAAATCTTTATTATGGTCATAGGCCAGCATGAGGAGAGGGTTACAGTCTCATAAAAGCATTGTACATCGAAATCTAAAAGTCTAGAAGGTCATAGGCCAGCATGAGGAGAGGGTTACAGTCTCATAAAAGCATTGTACATCGAAATCTAAAAGTCCGGGGCCTACACACCGGCCCATGTGCCACCACCGGGATGCTGGCAGCTGGGCCCAGCAGGGCAGCTCGTCTATGTGCCCATTCCCCCACCGCTCATGATGCCTCCCCCCCGGCGGCACTGATGACCGGGATGGGCACCCCAACACCTGCCAGGCCCCCCCTGGCTATGCCAGTAGCCGCTATTCCAGCAATGAATGTTGGCGCCGCATCTGTGGCCGACCCCACTCCTTCAAGTGGGGCCTTGGGCATCAATCCTACTCTGACTGAGTCTAGCGCATCCGCTGCAGGCCCCCGCTGTGCAGACTTGGGGATACAGAACGGCCCCAGCACCTCTGACGCGCTGGGCCCGGTCAACCAAAGCCTGTGCCAACCTACCGCGCTTCCAGCCGCGGCTTCGGCCGCCATACAGGCTGCTACTACCCCACTGATGGTTTCCGGCACGGACCTGCCTGATCCAGCGACCCACGATGACGGGGACCCGCCGGACTCTGATTCGGACGCTGAGCCGCATGAGGCTCCTCAGCCTTTGGGGGGTGAGGACACTGTCTTGCCTGCAGACTTTAATAAATTTGCCGCTTTAGTAGAACGAATGATTAAGGCTTTGGAGATCCCTGCTCCAAAACCCCCGGAGCACGTGGAAGATCCAATGTTCCCGTCGGAGGAACAAAATGTGGTTGTGTCCTCCACCCTTCCTCACCTGCCATATTTGCTCAAGCTGGCCAAAATAATTGATATGCCCCCTTCGTCGGTACCAGCTGTGCCTAGACGTCTAGACTCTATGTATAAGATAGATATGACTACCGCCAAATGGGTTCTAGCGCCTCCCAGGGCTAATACGGTGGTGGCCGAGGTTTCAAAATCTAAACGATCCAAGCCCCCCCAGACTGCCCCCCCTGACAGAGAGGGCAGGAAACTAGACACGCTGGGAAAGAAGGCCTACCTTTCGGCGGGCCTTTTTACGCGTATGGCCCACTACGCAACCTATATGTCAGGGTACCAGACCCTCCTCTGGAATCAGCTGCTACCCTACATCGAGGTCTTGCCACCTGATGACCAGCGTTTCCCTAAAGCCCTACAAACTGAAGCCCTGGCCCTCGCTAAGTTACGGGCCGCTAACCTCTCGGAGGAGGGGAAGGCCCTCGCTGAGGACCTCCCCTTCCACGAGGAGGGGCTATTCAATCCCAACACCGATGACCGGCTTAAACAAAAGCAAGATGTGAGGCAGTCCGCATCTAAATTCGGCTACACATGGCAGCCATACCCTCAACAAAAAGGGAGGTGGCAACCGAGTACCCCTTCTTACCGGAGGTCATTTGGTAACTCCTATTCTACACCCTTTAGGGGCAGGTTCGGGGGCCAGCCTAGATTCCAGGGGGGGAGGCGGACCCCCTACTCCCAGAAACCAAGGGCTCAACCCTTTCAGGGAAAATCCAAAACCCCTGGCGCCTCAAAAAAGCGTCTTTGACGCCTCTATACCCAACCCAGGGCCGGGTGGCGGGGAGGGAGGCGGGGGGGGGTGGGGGTGGAGGGGGGGGGTGGGTACAGAGGGGGGGGGGGTGGAGGGGGGGCGGGTGGGGGGGGGAGGGGGAGGGCTGGTGCAGGGTGAAACCCAGGGGGGTGGGCCAGGGGGGGGGGGGGGAGGAGGGGTAAAAAAGGGGGGGGTGGGTTGAGGGGTCAAGGGCAGGGGGGGGGGTTTTGGGAGGGGAGGGGGGGGGGGGGACCAGGGTGGTGAGGGGTGGGGGGGTGGCGGCCCAGGGCGGGGGAAGGGGGGAGAGGGGGGTGGGGGGGGGGGGGGGGACCCAGGAGGGTGGGGGGGAGGGGGTGGGGAGACAGGTGAGTGGGGAGGGGTTGGGGGGGGGGACTGGAGGGGACAGTGGGGGGCAGGCGGGGGCGGGGGGGGGAGGGTTGTGGGGAGGTGGGGGGTGGGGGGATCGGGGAGGGGAGAGGTGGGGAAGGGGGTGGGGTGATGAGTAGGGGTGGAGGTGGGAGGGGAAGTTGGCAGGGGTGGGGGTAGGGGGGGCCAGGGTGGGTGCTTCGGGGGGGGGGGGAGGGGAGTGGTCGCTGCGTGTGTGGGGCGGGGTGGGGGGGGGGGGGCCGGGCACAACCCCAGTTGCATGTCCCTTCATGACCCCGCAGCCCAAGATACCCTTTCCGCTCTGTTTAAATGTTGAGGTTCAGGAGAGCCCTTCGGGGCCGTTGCCCTATTTCACAGACCGTCTCTCCAGTTTCTATTCTGAGTGGGAGAAAATTACCTCTGATCTCTGGGTGTTATCTATTGTTTCAGGAGGTTACTCTATCGAGTTTGATGATACCCCCAGGGTTGGTTTGTTCCGTGACACCCCATTTTCCATGCAACTCATGCAAGAGATTAGAATGTTACTAGACAAGGGGGCTGTTTCCATGGTTCACCCTGCATCTGCTCCCTTCTGTTTTTATTCTCGTTACTTTCTGGTGATTAAGAGAGGTGGTGGGCTGCGTCCCATTTTGGACTTGCGAGAGCTCAATAAACACATTAAACCGAAAAGGTTTCGTATGGTGACTCTTGCTTCCATAACCCCGCTCCTTCCTAAACGCGCCTGGTTCGCCACCGTCGACCTCAAGGACGCGTACTTCCATATTTCTATTGCCCCACACCACCGAAGGTTTTTATCCTTTAGGATTAACGGTCAGTCTTACTGTTTTAATGTCCTCCCTTTTGGCCTTTCTATGGCCCCGAGGGTCTTCACCAAATGTATGGCCGTGGTGATGGCCCACCTTAGGACCAGGGGAGTCACGGTCTACCCCTATATTGACGACTGGCTGATTGTAGCAGACACTTACCGTAAACTCCAAACACATATCTCYATGGTTTTGTCTCTCCTCCAGTCCCTAGGTCTCGTCCTCAACYGGGAGAAGTCCGTCCTGGTGCCGAYGCAGCAGATCCGGTTCATCGGGGTGCTCCTGGACTCTGTCCGCGAGAAGGCTTACCTCCCGGAGGAACGCTTCGCCACCATCAGAGATCTGGTCGGACAGGTTCTGGTCGAGCCCCACGTGACGGCCAGACAACTACAAGTCTTACTGGGTCACATGGCGTCAACT